AAAAAAAAGACAGGCTTGATTATTTCGCTTGACTTGATCCAGCGTAATTAAAATTTTTAAATTTCTCTACCTTTGTTATAAATTTTGTATTATGTAAAATTATATTTTATATTACCTAATATTATAAATTTCTCTAACTTTATTATAGATAGAAAAAAAAAAAGACAGGCTTGATTATTTCGCTTGACTTGATCCAGCGTAATTAAAATTTTTAAATTTCTCTACCTTTGTTATAAATTTTGTATTATGTAAAATTATATTTTATATTACCTAATATTATAAATTTCTCTAACTTTATTATAGATAGAAAAAAAAAAAGACAGGCTTGATTATTTTCCTTGAATTGATCCGTAATTAAAATTTTTAAATTTCCCTCCCTTTGTTATAAATTTTATATTATGTAAAATTATATTTTATATTACCTAATATTATAAATTTCTCTAACTTTATTATAGATAGAAAAAAAAAAAGACAGGCTTGATTATTTCGCTTGACTTGATCCGTAATTAAAATTTTTAAATTTCTCTACCTTTGTTATAAATTTTATATTATGTAAAATTATATTTTATATTGTATAATATTATAAATTTCTCTAACTTTATTATAGATAGAAAAAAAAAAGACTCGATTATTTCGCACGAAAAATTTTCAAACTGTAGAATCAGTGTGGCGAAAATTTAAATTTCAAAACGATTGCTCGTCATCCGAGGTATTCGAGGAGAAAACAGGCCGATTACTCGAATCACTCCCGCTTAGCTTTTCCAGAGCTTAAAAAACGCTGGATATCTTTTGAATAATAAAGAATAATCCTTTTCAGGTGGGGAGGGGAACACGCGTGCACCTACAGTTTTCCACGTCGTCGCGTCTTTCATCCTGCAACAGGACAGCCCCGGTCAAAACCCCTTCATCTCCCTCTTTGTCCCTCCATCCCTCCTCTGGCTAACCTTTTCGCCCTCCCCTCCTCCCTCTGTCGCGACGCTATCGCGGGATTTGTAAGCGTTTCTAAAAGGGTTGGGATGAATTATTCGGGCGTCGGTGAAAACGCCTAAGTGACACGCGGACGTCTGACATCCTCGAATTGATCCTCGATCGAAACGGGATCGAGGCGAAG